TGGGTGGGAGATCACGTGTGGAGATTGCTGTGTGGCTCTTGTGAATGGAAAAATGGTTGGAAAGTAGATCTGAGAAACGATGAGTTGAGGAACCACACATTACCGATAAGAATTAGTTGAGGGGTGATGCACTCTTCCATTAATATACCTGTGGACTGATTGATCTGAGACCAGCCATAAAGACTGTTTTTTAAGATTTTATTTATTTATGACAGAGAGAGAGAGTGAGGGAGCATAAGCATGGGGGAGCTGGAGGGGGAGAAACAGCTTCCCCGCTGAGCAGGGAGCCCAATATGGGGCTTGATCCCAGGACTCTGGGATCGTGACCTGAGCCAAGGGCAGACGCTTAACTACTGAGCTACCCAGGAGCCCCGAGAGTATTAATATACTAATGAGTGGAAAAGGATACCAGTGCTGATTCAGGTCAATTGAGAAGGATAACAATATCCAAACGAATATTTGCATTTGAGCTGAGTTAAAGAATATTTGAGGAAGAGATGAGAGGTATTATAAATATTAATGTTTCTAAAGCATTTTGAAGATTAGGAAAAAAGTGTTATTATAATAATTTTCAGAAGTGAAGGTGTCATAGTACCCAGTACGCCCTGGCATGTGGCATGTATCAATGGGGACTGTGGGTTAACTCTTCAGTAACAGAGTTGAGTTTGCCCTGACTCTCTTGCCAGCATGCTGGGCTCCGCCACACTCTCCTGTTTGCAGGAATGGCATCAGGTGCTTCTTCGCAGCAGGAATAGGTACCATTTTTGTCTTTGAAGGAAAAACAGGAGATGTGGAGTTAGAAGGAGTTATACAATCACAACATGATTTATTCTTTCATCTTTTATTATGTCCTTTGATTTATACCTGCAAAATAAAAGCTAAAGTCTTAGTACCGCCTTCCAAGTTGTGTGTTGGTAGTTCTCAGCTCTGGGTGCATAGCAAAATAACACGAGAAACTTTCTAAAAATACCAAGCCCAGGGTGGGATCTAGGCATCTGGATTTTTGTGTCCGCATTTGTGCGGGATACCTACTTGTTTTCTTTTGTTGTAATGGATTATTGTGTTTTTGGTATCAAAATAATGCGGGTCTCATAAAAGATTTGGAAACTGTTTCTACTCTCTCTCTCTCTTTTTTTAATCTCTCAAAGAGTTAGCATAGAAATGCAATTATTTCTTCTTTAAATGTTTAGAATTCACCAGCATAGCTTTCTGCATGAGGAGCTTTCTGTTTTGGAAAGCTTAAAAATACAGAGTTAGCTTCTGTGATGGATACGGGCGTATGAAGGTTACCTGTTTGTTCTTTTATGAGCTGTAATGGCGGGTGTTTTTCAAGGAGTGGTTTGTGTCTGTCCAGTTCATTTCAGTTGTAAATTTATGGACTTTATAACATTTCCTCATTTCTGTCATGTTTATTGAATGCATGGTTGATAACCCTTCTTTCATTCCTGATATTGGTAATTTGTGTCTTTTTCTTAGTCAGTCTGACTAGAGATTTATCAGTATTATTCATTTATTCAAAGAACCAGCTTTTGGTTTCATTAATTTTTCTCCGTTGTTTTTCTGTTTTTAATTTCACTGATTTCTGCTCTTAAGCATATTATTTTTTTCTTCTGCTTGTTTTGGGTTTAATTTGCTGTGCTTTTTCTAGTGTTCTTAAGATTATTGACTTGAGAACCATCTTTTCTAGCATAAGCCTGTTTAATACTTAAAAAGTGAGAAGTGCCCACACTGCCATGCTTTCCTTTAGCTGCCTTCTTTCCATCCTGGACACAACCAGTGTTATTTTTTTCAACATCCTTTTCACAGAATGCTAGATAGCGTTAGAGCAATCATTTTGTTCCATGCTTTGCCTTTTCTTTTTTTTTAACTTAGTAATCTATCTTGCATTTAAATCTTTATCGTTCACTATTATTTTTCATTCTTTTTATGATAGCATAAATAGCCAATCTTCTTTCAGTGGGCATTTAAGGATAGGGCCTGGGTCTTGGTATTTTTAATGTTTTTGTTCTTTTTATGCATTTTATTTTTTATTTTTTTTAATTAAATTTTTTTATTTTTTTATAAACATATAATGTATTTTTATCCCCAGGGGTACAGGTCTGTGAATTGCCAGGTTTACACATTTCACAGCACTCACCATAGCACATACCCTCCCCAATGTCCATAACGCCACCACCCTCTCCCGACCGCCCCCCCCACCCAGCAACCCTCAGTTTGTTTTGTGAGATTAAGAGTCACTTATGGGGACACCTGGGTGGCTCAGTTGGTTAAGCAGCTGCCTTCGGCTCAGGTCATGATCCCAGGGTCCTGGGATCAAGTCCCACATCGGGCTCCTTGCTTGGCAGGGAGCCTGCTTCTCCCTCTGCCTGTGCCTGACACTCTGTCTGCCTCTGCTCCCACGTGCTCTCTCTCTCTCTAACAAATAAATAAAATCTTTAAAAAAAAAAAGTCACTTATGGTTTGTCTCCCTCCCGATCCCATCTTGTTTCATTTATTCTTTTACCTACCCCCCAAACCCCCCATGTTGCATCTCCACTTTCTTACATCAGGGAGATCATATGATAGTTGTCTTTCTCCGATTGACTTATTTCGCTAAGCATAATACCCTCTAGTTCCATCCACGTCGTCGCAAAAGGCAAGATTTCATTTCTTTTGATGGCTGTTTTTATGCATTTTATTATGAAAAATTTTATGCATGCCATTTATATATCTTACATGTCTTTTAACCTGTGTGTTTCCCTTTATTTTCCACCTTAAACCGTTAGCTGTGTCCAGTAATGGTAACCTTCACTTTCCAGGATTCATTTTTTAAACAGCTTTTTTTTTTTTTTTTAAGATTTCTAAGATTTTACTTATTTATTTGACAGAGAGAGAGAGATCACAAATAGGCAGAGAGACAGGCAGAGAGAGAGAGGGGGAGGCAGGCTTCCCGCTGAGCAGAGAGCCCGATGCGGGGCTCGATCCCAGGACTCTGGGATCATGACCTGAGCCGAAGGCAGAGGCTTTAACCCACTGAGCCACCCGGGCTCCCCTTTTTTAAACAGTTTCTATTGGGAATTAGGAAATGCCTACAGAAGGAGACCTAAAATGAAGCATAGTGTGACATGTCACCTTGGAGCCCACGCCGCATGTACGCACTCCGGTGGGGGGGGGGGGGGCAGGGTACTGTCAGACCCGGGGCACAGACACTGTTGCCTGTGCTCCGAATGCCATGGCCACTGGGCTGTGGCGCTGCCGGAGGAGTCCATCTCGGCTGCCTCAGGAAGCTGGATGGAAGCCCTCCCAGTGTGGCCAGGTGGTCCAGCTTCTAAAAGCTAATCGTTTTCTGTGTGGTCTCAAGTGGGTGCATCTTGTTGGTGGAGCTTGTGGCATGTGGTCATGTCTTAGTGTTGAAGAAAATGGGAAGACAGACAGGCGAGGTTTTCTTTTCTTCCTCCTTCACACTCTGGTGGTGGGACGTGTATTGGTCTCAGAAGATAGGGCATGCTTAAATACAGACTTGGCATTTAGATGGTTGGTGACCAAAAAGAAATGTCCACCATTAAAGTTCTGTATCAGTCTTAGAAATCCATTCCCTTTCCTAGTTGATGTTCTTTGTAGCTACTCATGTTGCTTATACAGCACCGTGGGTATTTGACTTGGGTGTAGTGCTTCTGTTGGCAGGTGCCCTATAAGATGTGCAGCAGTTATCTGTATTTCTAGAGAACTGTATATTTAAAAAACCCCATCCTGGGGTGCCTGGCTGGCTCAGTCAGTAGAGCATGCAACTCTTGATCTCTGGGTTGTGAGTTTGAGCCCCACGTTGTGTGTGGGGAGATCACTTAAAATAAGATCTTTAAAAGGTAAAATAAAAACCCCATCCTAATTTTTTTTCATTGTAGGGATTCCTGTTTTATCTTACGAATAACCTTAGTTAGGTGTAAAGGGTGAAAATCAGACTGTAACAAACATCAGTATTTCCTGGAGATCTTTGCACTGCGAGCCTTCAGGCTCATGGACCATTTGCCTTCCAGGTGTGCTCTTACTGTATAAAAGTTTTGGAAAATGGAAGGCACTCTATTGGGAACATTGGTAAAGATAGATAGGATGACACTTGCTTTTCAAAACTAAGATGGTACAATTCTCATTATTGTAAAGCTATGTTACTGTGAAACTTTGTACACACATGCTTCATAAAGTGAACACAAAAGCCCGTTGTTCGTTTGCATGTGATGACTTTAAAAACTGGCTAGTGAAGTTTTCACCTGCTGTGAAACCAGGGCGTGCTGAACAGATGGAGGACGTTCAGCACGGTGGACGTGTTAGGTCAGGGGGCCTTGCTGACTTTGCCTTGGCTCTGCAGGTGATGTACAGTCTTGTTCTGGATAATTCATAAATGTTCCACATTTCATCTTCCCAGTCACTGAAAAGGAATTAATATTACCATCCTTTCCCCTCCACTTTCTCACAGTGGTGGCCTGGGAGGATCTGAGACAGATATATCAAGCTTCTTAGGATAAACACATGGTGTCACATACACCTGTCACAGTAAAAACAAAGATGAATGTAATATAAAATCTTTATAGCAGTGTGCACCCTGTGGGTTTAGTACATAACAATAAACTATTGTTATCATGGTGGGAGGACACATTTCTGAATTATTCAAACAAGGTGATGCCTCAGTTTTGAATGCTGAAAACAACTCAGCTGTGGATTTCATGGGCGAAATTTACTTCTGGTTCATCCATTTGGCCTCTGTGTACAGAGCCAGTAGAAATTTCTTTTCAGAATGTTTGTAAAGCTCCTTTTCAAATAATTCAGGTAGTTTTAACACTATTTGCCTAACATACACGAGAGCTTATTTCTACAAAGGAAAAACCCCAACGTTTCTAAAAATCCAAGGTAATATTGTAGCATATTAGGGTAAGAGTCACCTTACTAATTGCTTGATATTTAGTGATACCTTTGATTGCTTTTGTGGTTCCAGATAGCAATTGTCTCTAATATAATTTATTTTGCAGTGAGGGCCGAGGCAAGTTGACCGTATTTTCAGTTAAAGCTATGTTAGCAACCATGTGTGGTGGAAAAATGCTGGACAAATTGAGATGTAAGTACTTTCCTATTATTTGAAAAATTGTATCTTCAAATCAGGACCTTTGAACAGTTTTAAGTTAATGTTTTCAGAATTTTGGATGATGCCATATTGAACTTTTCTGTTTGTGCTACATCGTTCGCTTTGTAGCAGCTGGCTCAGAGTATGTACATTATGCCACCTACTGTTGAGACGGAAAAATTGGTTGAATTAATTTGTTTAGTTTGTTTTTTTGCGGGGGGGGGGGGGATAAAGCAATGAAACTGAAGAGATTCAGAACAGTAATGTTGACCTTAAAAAAGTCTTTTCTTTTCCTTTTTTTTTTTTCTTTTAATTAACGTATAATGTATTATTTGCTTCAGGGGTACAGGTCTGTGAATCACCAGGCCTACACATTTCATAGCACTCACCATAGCACATGCCCTCTCCAATGTCCATAACCCAACCACCTTATCTGTACCCCCAACCCCCAGCAACCCTCAGTTTGTTTCGTGAGATTAGGAGTCTCTTATAGTTTGTCTCCCTTGTTTCACTTTAAAGAGTCTTTTTTTTTTTTTTTTAAGATTTTGTTTATTTATTTGACAGAGAGAGAAATCACAAGTAGGCAGAGAGGCGGGGGGGGGGGGGGGGCGGGCTCCCTGCTGAGCAGAGAGCCTGATTCAGGGCTCCATCCCAGGACCCTGAGACCATGACCTGAGCCGAAGGCAGAGGCTTAACCCACTGAGCCACCCAGGCGCCCCTAAAAAGTCTTTTAAAAATGCTTTCCATATGATCAAAATTTTGCTTGCAGATGATTATGTTGAGTGCTTTTTGTTAGGAAATAAATATGGTTATTTTTACCAGGTTTGGTCAAGATTAGCCCTTTATAAAATAAATTTATTCTTCATCGGGTGATATTTACTGTGATTAAACTTTTCCTTAGTAGCTTAGAGTTAAGCTCAGTCATTTAGAAATTTAGAGCCTGTTTTTTTGCTTCTTTTTTTGTTGTTGTTCAGTTACTTTTCCTAAATCTTTTCTTACTGTTGGCCATCTTGTCATTTTACTGTTCCTTAGATACTGTAAGATTAAATGAAATCAAAGGACATGAAGTTCAGAGTTATTTAATTTTTTTGTGTATGGTTTTCATTTATTCATTCATTAGGTAGTTACTGTCTAAGATATGCCAAGCATTGTGCTAAGTGCTTTACATATATTTTCTCACTGAATGCTTAAATTTCTTTGAGCAGCAGGTGGTATATTCTCCATTTTATAGATGAGTTAACTGAGGGGGCGAAGCTGGGATTTCAGCTCAGGCTGTCTAGCTTCCTGGCCCTGTTCTAAGCTACTTTGTTGTGCTCCATAGACTAATCCTGTAATGGGAGGCACACTCGTGATACAGTACAGTGATCAAAGTGCCATGCTGTAAGGAAGAAACTCTGGCAGGTTTCAGGGAGGTGAGATTGAAGCTGTGGGTTTTAATGAAGTATTGAGATACCCTATGAATTGCTTTGTTGAAGAAACTGGGTCATCTGTCCTATATAGCATTGCTCATGGACTGGATTTTCATGATCGCATCTCCATGATGCTCTTCTGTGTCCCACATTTTTTGTTTTAATTGGAAGATCTAGAGGCTTGGTCAGATTTAAGCACAGGCTTTTGGGCCAGATGACTTGATAGGTACATTTATTTTCTGTGCTTTTTGTTATATGTTACCATGACATCGAAAGTTGGAAAGCTGGATGGCTCACCGGATATAGATATAAATATTCTAAAGGATTAAGGTCTTAGATAATGTGTTTGGTCAGCTGTTATCTGGTTTATCTTCATTTCAATTCAGCTGCAGTGTAAAACAAGTTTTTAGTAATAAAACTTACAGTTTTATTAAATACTCTTCTGAGTATTTTTCACATGGTATCTGAAAATACTAGGCTGAAATTTCGTAGTATTTTCTTAATTTTAGCACAGTGTTTGCCTGAGGAAGATAATATAATATGGATGAAATTGTATTTCATTCAAACACAAAGAAAAAGAAAGTTGGAATTTTATCTGTTTTTAATGGTAGTGACACCAGGTAAAGAATATACATTGCTATCTTTACTAGTTCTGGAGAAAGTGGCTGAAAAGTGGAAAATTGGTGATATAACCGCATGGTGGGTAACTCCGGAGTCTGTAAGTTTCTGTGGTTAAATCTGCCACATTTACATCATTGAGCTGGGACCTGGCACAGAGTAAGTGCCAAAATTTTGCCAAATAGCATTTGTTGATTGAGTCCTAAAATTACTGCAGTTCTCTGTGGTACTGTTAGTGAAAAAGTGCAAATTTTAGTATTGTGGGAAACGTGGAAGGGATCCAGGTGATGGCAGGGTTTTTGTTGTTGTTGTTTTAGTGTGGCTTTTGAAGCTCTTGGAGAAATACAAGTGACCAGTATTCAGGTGATACAGAGGGCACATGCCCAGGCCGGCGTGACAGGTCTGTGTGCTCAGAATGCCAGATCGCTCACTGCACATCAGATCCGGGTGGATGAGACACCAACCATGCTAGCTCACTAATTACCGTGTTCATATCATGCAGAGAGATTTAAAATATGGTTTCCTTATTGTCTTCACATTCAAAATTATAGTTCTTGACCATCTGTAGTTATGTTTCATTATTTTTGGTGTACTAATTATCTTGGCTCGAAAATGAGATGTTTAACATAAGGAAAATTTGCAGGTATTGAGGCCTGTCTCCACTTCTTAATTTTAATCATCCAGAGTGGAAACCCGTTTACATGTGGTCTGCCTGTCCTAATGGACATACAGAGCTCACTGGTTATAACTTACATATTTTTCATAGCTCAGGGATGTCATCTTCTGCTGCATTTGGGGATAATTGTGAGGCTCTGGGTTATTTGTCCCTTCTGATGTTTTCAGACAACGACTTTCTCCATTCTTGAGCTTTTTGTTGGTGGTGGCAACAGTGGTGATGGTGTGTGTGTGTCCCCTTTATCACTGATAAATGCGACAGGATTATCAGAGTATCAGTCTCTAGAAATCTCTCTTTCCTTCTGTTTTACATTTAATATGGAGAAAACACAAGCAAATTTCTGAACATTCTATTTAAGGTTTGAGTGTAGGTGACTGGAGCTTTTGTTGTGGGATTGGCAGTTTGGGTGCTGTAGGAATCCTTTTCTCTCTGGCTTTCCGGGTCCCAGCTGCGTCCTGCTTAGTTGCGATGGCTGAAGAATAGCACAGACAGAAGTGAGCTAGACCACTGTACTGCCCTGTGACATTTCTTCACCACCTTCTCTTGGCTTGTTCCGTTGACTTAGTTCTTGTTTTCTCCATCTTCCCGCCCCTGACCGCACTTTCTGCTGTTACCTCTGTTAATGTTCCTTTTAAATGAGCTTTTCATGTTTATGTAATACAACTTCATGTTTCTACTTTTCTTCCTTTTATTTTGATTTTTTTGCACTTTACCTTTTTTTTTTTTTTTTTAAGGATTTTTAAAATTTATTTGAAGAGAGAGACACAGTGATAGAGGGAACACAAGCAGGGGGAGTGGACGAGTGAGAAGCAGGCTTTCCCGCCAAGCCAGGAGCCCGATGCGGGGCTCGATCCCAGGACTCTGGGATCATGACCTGAGCTGAAGGGAGGCGTTTAACGACTGAGCCACCAGGCGCCCCTGTACTTTACCTTTTATTTTAGAATTTTTTCCCCTGTAATTTTCTCCCCTCCCCCTTTTTTATTTGGTATATTTTTGTTTGCTTGTTTTAGGGTCAAGATAGCATTTAGAACAACTTAACCAATATTTGTACTTTAAGCTTGAAATATTTCTTGATTAGATTTTTCAGGTCTCTCTTAAGAGAGTTTCTGTCCCCAGCGAGTGCTCATTTATAGAAATAATTCACTGTTGTAGCCATTAGGGACTATATTCTAGATTCACAGTTAACTTAGGGTCAGATTCTAAATACCAGTAACTTACAATAAGAATACAGAATTTAATTATAAGCATGATCAAAACTCAGTAATGTCAGAAACCCTAAAAATAACTCAGAGGACAAAATCTATAGGCTGTAAAGCCCATTATTTATGATTTGTCACTTAATTGTCGTTTAATTTATGTGATTTATTTACTTTGTCCAATTCTGCTATTTGTTTTCTAAGAAACTTAGTCTCTTATTCAGACGTCATCTGTCTTGCATTAAAAGATAGGAGCAGATGATTCATGTAGTTGATTTTTAAATTCTTTAAAAACCTGGTGCTACCATTTGAAGGACGGTCTAACAGTGTATATCAGGAAGGCTGTAAAAATACCCATATCCACTGACTCAGTCTATTTCTTGAGTTTACCCAGAGGAATTAATTAGAGTGCACCCTAAATTTTATGTATATTTGTTATGGCATTTTTTATCATATGTGAAAACTTGAGACAGTGTGCAAAACTCAGAGCTCAGTTATAGCAGGATCCGCACATGACTTCCTATAATGTTCTCAAAAACAGGTTTCACATCAAAATGCATAAATGTAATATAGTTTTAGACAAAAATTTGTTATGCACATAGAAAAAGAAAGAAATAGTATACCAGATGATAACAGATATTTTTTCTGGGTTGTAGCATAAGAATGTCTTTGTGGTTTTGATAGACCACACTTTGAGTAGCTGGAGAAAAGATGATCTGAGCTGCTGCTTGTGCTCAGAACTGGCAGTTCTCACCGAATTTCCATCGTGCTTCCTTGCTGTTGCACTAACACACTGTAGAGAGGCCATCCTTTGCAGCTATAATTAAACGGATCCACCCATTCAAAATTAAGCCTCCTCTGCAAGAGTCTCTCCACTGCCTGTCACTGCAGAGTTCCCCCGGCTGGTTTCTGCTAACGATCCCTTCTCGTCATTAGACAGAAATGATGGTTGAATCTCAATGAGTGAGGTTCACGTTTGCATTTCTCCTATAACCAAAATGTTCTAGAACTGGAAGCAAGTAAGAGATAAGTCCTAAATCAGTATTTTATCAATAAGAAGAGAAAGAAAAACAAAACCAAGGGAGGACTTGAGAC